AATGACAACGCCGTGTTGAAGATAAGCACAACCACTGCCATGAATGTTGCCTGGTACTGCACTGGAATGACTGAGAACATGATGATGTTCCCAGTTCCCAGCACTGCCCAGCATGCTGTCAAGGATTCCCAGTATTCGCGTCGTGCTTTCTCTATTGTTTCTGTCGGGCTGCGACCCATAATGATTCCAGTCCAAATATAAAACGTAGGCACATAAAGACAAGGATTCAAAACCACTTGACTCGCAACCACTTTAGGCAAAACTGCGCGCCAGCCCCCCGAGATCTGCGGCAGCCACTTTTCCAGCAAAGCGTACCAGTGGTGATTGACGAGCCCAGTCCACCAAAACGAAAGGGATGTGAAGGCCACGCTGCGACGACTGTCAAAGCCCACATGCCCAGCCCGATCGGATGATCCCCAGCGCTCGATCTGCTGCGCACTGAAATCTCCAATGAAGGCCAGTGCGCCTCCTGTGCAGCACTTGGTGAGAACTGGTCGTGTCCGAATCAACCCGTCGTACATCGAAATGAGTCGACGGCAGGCCCAGCGACTGGAATTCATGGCGACCGTCGTGCTGTGATGCAGGAGTCTGCTAAAGCTGAACAGCAAGCCATATGCAGGCGAAGCGGTTTGGGCCAACATGGCTACAGGCGGTAGGGAAGCCGAACAGGAAATTCGATAATAAGGAAAAGGGGACGTGGAGGAGAGGAAGGATGCTTATCTCTGCCGCTGCCATGTCGCACACGTTCCGAACGAAAGTTCACGATACAGGGGAAATATGCCAGGATCAAGCACGCAGCAGCAGCTTCAGATATCGCTCGCGATATCCTTCCCACCCTCCCCCAGTCTTCCCCTCACACACCCTCCTCTCCCCTTATCATCTCCCCATCCACCCCCCGTCAACCCCCACCATCCCCATGACAATCCCACCCAACTCTCTCCACATCCCGCTGATCCCGTCCCGCTCCCCCTATCACGCTCCTCCTCCCCCCTTCCGCCTCCCACCGCCAAAGGCCCATTCAACAGCGTTAGCGCCCACATCGGAACCACTGTAGACCCAGCTGCATGCCAGCAACGCCTTGACCATACTGCAAGCGGGCAAAATGAATCAGCTCGGAATCGGAACGTGCAGGAGGTGCCGGGTAAGAACCGATGACAGACAGACAGACAGACAGACAGACAGACACACAGACGCAGCCTCTCCGCGCGTAGGTCACATTGCAACCCGAACGGCCACTTTACAACCATACGGGGCACTTTACAACCAGCACCGGTTTTCCCCTAAGGGTACTTCACAACCAGGACAGCAACTTTACAACCAGGAATGTAAACACACATATGCGGCACATGTTCTTTAATTGTCGAAAGTTCCGTGGGTCCACGTAGGAAGAAAAGCACCTCGCTCTCTGAAGCGTGTTGGTTGTAGAGTGACCCGTCTGGAACGAGAATCTGTGAAGTGGCGGATTTTAAACGGCATCCAACCAGAATCCTATGGGAATCCTATTGGCACCCTTCCCACCGGGATCCTGATGGCACCACATGAATCCCATTGGTATCCAACACGATTCCTCGATATGGGGCCTAGTGGGTGTCCTCTTGGATGTTTCCTATTGAAACCCGTTGGGGCCGTTACTAATGGAAACCGAGTGGAAGCCCCAGTGGATTACAATCAAGGAACCTTCCTATTGGAATGCTGCGGGAAACGCGTTGGGGGTACTATATGGAAACCCGGTGGGTATTCGTATGGGTTCTTATTCGAAGTCAGTAGGAACCGTTTTTCTTGGAATCCCATAAGAACCAGATTGGCGAATACGAAAGATAGCGAGTTGGAGTCCAATCGGAATCCTTCCCTGTCGATCCATACGGGCATGCTACTGGGATTCCACCAGGACCCGAGTGCAACTCAACACAAACCTGTCCTCGTTGACTCATGTTGTACCCCGATTGGCGTCCTATTGCTATCTTTGCTGTATCCAAAAGGAGCTATTGGAAAACAGGTGAAATCCAATAAAAATCCTCCTGCGACAGGCTGGTGGCAGGCCTGGGCGGTTTCATTTCTTACACCCATGCCCTAAATCCACATGTTTTTGGAAAGCCGCAACCTCTTCCTGCAAATCCTGCCTCTCCTGGCAATAAAGAACAGTAGGCGTTCGCCGCGAAAGACGCAAAGGAGCACGCGCGCCCGCCGGAGAGCGGAAATGTGGCCAAGAACTCGTTGGGAATGTGGCGAAAAACTCGTTGGCATCATGGGCATCATTTGCCCTCGCGCCTCATCGTCTGGCCACGATGCAACCGAATGTGTTCGCACGTGCGGGAGCAAGCGTGCCCAGGAAAGCGGGGATGTGGCCGAGAATAGATTGGTGAATTGCTGGCCAATACACGCGGGTTTCAAACTGAGTCGTTTTGTATCATATACCATGCTTGCCCTCGTGCCTCATCGTCTGCCACTGGGAAATAAAAACATATGTTTTCATAATTTCGACGGCATGCGTGCCCAGGATGGCAGAAATGTGGCCGAGAAATCGATAGTAAAATCCGAGCTGGTACATGTGGACTTCCAGTTGTGTGTTTGGGCTCACACACAACTTTAGTCCTCGCGCCTTATCGTTGGACAATAACAAAACCGCAGGGTTTCGCATTCGCTGTCGCATGCGTACCCAGGAGGGCGGAAAAGGTGGAAACGACATCGATGGTACTATTCTAGCCAAACCATGTGAATTTCAAACTGCGTTTGGGGAATCATAGACCATTATTGTCCTCGCGCCTCGTCGTATGACAACCGCGAAAACCGCAGGCGTTCGCGGCCGCGAGCATGCGCGCCCAGGAATGCGGAAGTGCGGCCAAGAAGTCGACGGTAACATTCGAGCCACTACGCGTGGATGCCACCTTGTTGTTTTTGGCCCCGCAGACAACTTTCGTGCTCGCGCTTCGTCGCCTAGCAATAGCAAGCCGCATGTTTTCGAATTCGCGGAAGCACGCGTACCCAAGAGGCAGACATGTGGCCAAGACATCGCTTGCAAAACTCCAGCCAACGCATGTGGATTTCAAAATGCGCGCTTTGCATCGCAGGCCACGTTTGTCCTCGCGCCCCCATCGCCTGGCAATCGTAAAAACCGCACGTTTGCGCGATTGCGGGACCATGCGCGCCCGCGAGGGCAGAAAGTGGAAAAGAAAACGCTGCGTACATTCTGGCCAATACATTCGGATTCCACGTCGTTTTCTCTGGCCTCGCAAGCAGTCGGCGCTTTCGCTCGGCAAGGGCCTCGGAGCGCCCAAGCGCTCGAAAGCCTCTGCAGAGCGCCGGGGCTTTTCAGAGGCCTCTGTAAGGCGCCAAGGCGCCCATAAGCGCACAAGCCTCTGCAGAGCGCCCGCGCGCTCAGAAGCCCCCGCAGAGCGCTCAGGCGCTCAGCGGCCTCCGCAGAGCGCCCAGGCGCTCAGAAGCCTCTGCAGAGCGCCCAGGCGCTCAGGTGCCTCTGAAGAGCGCTCAGGCACTCAGAAGACTCTGCAGAGCACTCAGGCGCGCAGATGCCTCTGCAAAGCGTTCAGGCGCTCAGAAGCCTCTGCAAGGCGCTCAGGCGCTCAGATGCCACGGCAGAGCGCTCAGGCGCTCAGATGCCCCCTCAGAGCGCCCAGGCGCTCGGAAGCTTCAGATGCCAAAGAGGCGCTTCGGAAGGTTGGTTGTAAAATGGCCGCTCTTGTTGCAAAGAGCCCCGCCCGGATTGTAAAGTGGTCGTTCTGGTAAAGAGTGAGCTGTTCTGGTTGCGCGGCGACCCATCTCAGTTGTCGAATGTCGTTCGGGGCCGAATCTCTCCCGGAACACGGCGCCACTGGGCTTGGGCCCCCGGGCAAACCCGGTAAGCGGGCCACGCAATGAAGGAAAAAGTATAGGATAGCACAGATACTACGCCTATAATCAGGAGGGAGAACCCGCGCTGCTCGACTGCCCAGTGGACCCACTTGCCTTCTTGTACGCGTTGCTTTCTGTGCTGCTGTCTGCCCCGTTCATTGATCCCCCAGCCCGCCAATCCCCCGCCGCGTCGATCCACCTCGCCCCTCCCGATCGCCAGGAAGCCCCTTCCACTCCGAGCCGCTGCAAGCCAAGAACTGATCCCCCCAGCGCCGCGGATGACATTTACGACCGTGACCCGATTACCCGCGAGCTCGACCATCGCGCGTACGTGGCGCATGTCTTTCTAGGCGAGGGCCTGCGGCACAAACCCTGCAAGGCGCATGCCGACGCGCGCGGGCAATGCGCCCTGCCCATCGGCGGGCTTGAAACAACACGAATTTTAAATTCGTGTTGTCACGCTGAAGCGAAACGCAACGCAACGCAGAAACGACCGACAAAAAACATAATTTAAATGACGTCCAAAATTTCCGGTTGCGGCGGTTTCTTGCGCGGTCAATGTATTCCAAGTTGCCACGCTGAAGCGCTCGATCGCCGATTGCATTGCCCGATTGACTCCCCGCTGGAATCCCGGAGCACCGAACGAATGATACGACGCCGCGTGGCTCCGAGCATCTGCTGGCGGCGCTCGGCGCGCGCCCAGCTGCCCGCAGAAGAAGGCCGAGCTCCCCACCACGCCCTGCAGCTGCAGTCGCTCTCCAACTTCCACCGATCGGCGCGCAGCGCGGAGCGGTGCCTGGAAAATTTGGAAACCCCCAAACCGGGTGGTGAGATACCAGGTGGCGACCTGGAATCCCCAAAAAGGTCACTGCTGGGTTTGGGGACACGGGGTCACCACCGGGTTTTGCGACTCCTGGACCCACCAATATTCGGGACATCCTCGGAAAACCGCACGAGTCCCCAAACCGGGTGGCGACGCCAAATCGCCCGAGACTCACCGCCAGGTGTTGTCACCACCTCGTTTGGGGACTACCAAAAAATGCTGCCCAGCCTCTCGAAGCCGTTCTCTGCGCGGCTGTCGACGCGTTGCGATCCATAGCGGCCCGCGCCCCAGGACACCTGAAACCCTCCGCCCCCCCCCCCCAGTCCTAGGCGCCCTCACCTCCTCCAAAGCAGCGCCCGCGCGATCGCCCATCGACGTCGCCATCCAATGGCAATCCTTCACGCGCGTAACGCAGCTCAGCCCCCGTGCAACCGCGCGCCGCGACTTGAACGTCTGCGCGAGCACGCGCAAACTAGTCGCGCGCAAACAGCAGCTGTCGGCAATTGCTGCAAGCGGGAGCCGTTCGACATCTGTCAAAATATTTCGCCGTCCGGCGTCGTCGCGAACGTTCAAAAAACCTCCCAGCGGACATCCGCGGCACCCCCGGGGCGGCCCCAGCGGCGACGCCGGCGAACATCAGCGAACATGTCTACAGACGCATCAAGATAATACGTAAACTCTCTCGGCGCCTCGGGCCCCCCGCGCGGCGTCGAGCGAGCGCGCGGCGCGCCCGCTGTCGGGCCCGAACCTGGCGAACAGATGCTAGACAGGCCACGCCATACCTCCCCGATTCTCGCAGCGGCGATCGCGCGCGGAACGTCGCGCAAGGCGCGGCCCAGAGTCCACCCGCTGCGATCCGCCATGTCGAAGGCCTTGCGTAGATCACTCACGCCCAAACAGGAAGACTCAACAAACTCGCCGGCCCGCTCCGCCAGCAACCTGGCAGTCGAAGAAGCTATGTCGCGGACCTGAAACTGACGTCGGTTCGCAAACTGGCATTCCGAGAGTCGCTGATTGCGCAGCCCCGACATATGTCCCAAGACAAGGGATAAAGCATGAGTTAATCAAAGAGGGTAGAAATTGGTCTAAAATCCTTGACCTTCCTGGTCCCGAAATATTTAGCCCGTGAAACGACATGATGGCGGCCCCGCACGGGCTCCGCATCCTCCGTCGGGCGGTTCAAAATTTTGAAAATGAGCTTTCGGCGAGAAACGACAGAGCATCGTCACTGACCACCTGTAAAATCTCAGCAACGAGCATATCACCCTTCGATACCCTTCTTCATTCGCTGCAAGAGAGAGAGAGAGAGATCGTAACTGATGCAGACCGACGGCTGGCAGGTCAGCGGGGTCGCCCTGCTTCCAGCACTGCGCGACCCAAACAGGCACTCGTCTGCGAAGCGGGTCAGAAAAACAGCATAACGCACAACTCGTGCACCATCCTTCGCATCGCATCGTGGTCCGTCGTCAAAGTCCCCCCCCCCTCCTCCCCCGAAGCCTTCGAAGTACTCATGCTTCCTCTTTCCTGCGTCGCCCCTGACTTGGCAAGAGCAGCAGCCAGGCGCCCCTCCGCCTGCAAGCGAGCAAGAGCGCGTCGTTCCAACGCCACGTCTTGGCTAATATGGCGCGGCAGCGTAGCGTCGGTTTCCACGGACTTCACGTGTTGGAGCCCCTGGACAAGTAAAACCTGAGGATGACTTTCGGGCAATTTGGGATCATTGGGGTTCTTCCGCGGGGAACCGCATTGCGAGGCAGTGGTCGAGACAACCTGCGCGAAGAAAGACAGAGTAGGCGCCTCCCGTTCATTCTCATCCCTCCTCACCAATACCCTGGCCCCGTGGGAGCATCACAAATATCGGGATCCACCCGGCACTCTCCAGCGATCTTCTGCTGTCTGGGCGCATAACCTGACGGCGCAGCACAACATACATCGCGGACAGAACGCACCTCTCGGTAGTGGTCTGGCCCCACACTGGACAGAAACGTAGTTTCCCCACCAGGCATCTTGCGAACGCGAAGACGAGAGGGAGAGAAAACAAAGTGTCGCTCATGCAAGCATAAGGTCGTTTGACATACAATTCGCGTCTACCCCTGAAGCTGGGTTAGAGCTATGTTGCGCCGAGTTTGGCCATACATGTTGGCCATACCATTGACATATCATGTGCGCGTATGCTGGCCAAGCCGTCAGCGAGTTCGTCGCCCTGAAACCCTGTGGCCCTTGACCCACCTGGTCTGGACAACGTACACCCTCTTCACACGTGCCCAAACAATAAAACCTCAGACATAAGGATGTTGTGTTTGGGAGAGAAACGCGAGCTGGGGATTCCCAGGACGTTGGAGGAACCGACGAACACCCCAATGCAACAACCTGAAGGGATATGACCCTGGACATTACCCTCTGCCTGGGCAAGCAACCAAGAACACATTCCTATGGCACCTGCCAGTGCAGCTGCATTGTTGGTCAATCGTACCGAACCAATATATCTGGGATCAGCGATGACCAAGACCGCTGCACCCCGCGCCTGCAAGCACAACGCGTCGCAAGACTCAGTGGACGAGGGGAAGACTGAATAGGCATTAAGCCCCACCCGCGTTATGTGGCTCGACCCTTTTTGTTTTGAACTGGCCATCAGAGAACAGTCGATAAGTAGCTGCCGCGCAATGGTCTGGGACATCGAAACCGAAGCCCTCATCACACGACCTGCACATACCATGGTCCGGCTGCGTCCGGAAACCAAAAAAAATACACGTGAACGGGAGCGGCACCGCGGGACTGAAAGCAAATTGCGGCCCCCGGGGTCCCGACAGCACGACAAACATCTGCAAATGGCCGCTTGCCGACGAGGCCGTACGTCGCGCGCCGACCGTATAAGCGGACTGCGGCAGGCCACGCGGCACCTAAGATGTGATCAGCGTGCCTGGGCTGACGTGTGTAGTTGTAGAACCAAGTGGCTTAACACACGAAGCTGCGCCCCCTGATGTTTGTGACCGCGAGCGCATTCGCGAAAATGATCTCGCTGGTTGGTAATAAGAGCTTCCAAATTGGTGATATTCTCAAAGACGCTCCTGGTGGCAGTCTCGTTCGCTTCCGCTTGCAGCTGGACCATGTCGATTTTGGCGTTCCACGGAGTGATATGAGAAGAAAGCAGCGCATGTGTCTGAATACTCGTGGCCATGACCAACCTCCTTTCCGACTCACTGAGCTCCACACTGCCAGCTGGTAAGAGTGGAGCACCAGAGCTGCCTGATGCACCAGCACCCGTCCTGAGCTTCTTGGCGCCTTCCCTCATCGTCCGAAATGACCATGTCAGCATCTGCCATCACGGCACGCGCGAGAGAGAAACGAGGGCCTGGCAGGGCGAGCGAGCGAAACAATGTGCAATGCAAACGAGAGAACTCTGGCACAATGCATATGACCCTTCTGCATGCGCCTGAATGGGTGCCTTGAGCCAAATTGGTTAAGAACCGATGGAGGAGGGGGGAGAAGACTAGGATTATGTTGCTCCCGGACAGTGTCGAAAGAGTGTCGAAAGAGTTTCGAAACAGTGTCGGACGAGTGTCGAGGCTAAAGTAGGTTGGAACATCATAAGACTAGGAGGGGGGGAACCGCACGGCTACCAATCGCTTTTCCGGGGATGGCTGAATGGGCGAAGTCGAAATCGGGTCCGATCGGGTTAGAACTGGGCCTGTCGCCGTCTGCCAACCGCTCCTGCGGCGTCGGTGGCCGTTGGCGCATGTGGCCGATGATCACCTCGGATATGGGCGCCCCACCGCGCCGCGATCGCTCGTCCTCTCCGCTACCTCCTCCTCCTCCTCCTCCTCCTCCTCCTCCTCCTCATCATCATCCTCATCCTCATCCTCATCCTCATCCTCATCCTCATCCTCATCCTCATCCTCATCCTCATCCTCATCCTCATCCTCATCATCATCATCATCATCATCATCATCATCATCATCATCATCATCATCATCATCATCATCATCATCATCATCATCATCATCATCATCATCATCATCATCATCATCATCATCATCATCATCATCATCATCATCATCATCATCATCATCATCATCATCATCATCATCATCATCATCATCATCATCATCATCATCATCATCATCATCATCATCATCATCAGCATCATCATCATCAGCATCGTCAGCATCATCATCATCATCGTCATCATCATCAGCATCATCATTACCATCATCATCGTCAACAGCATCATCAGCATCATATTCATCATCATCATCCTCATCGTCATCAACATCATCATCATCATCATCGTCGTCATCATCAGCACCATCATCGTCATCCTCATCATCATCATCATCATGATCATCGTCGTCACCATCATCATCACCACCATCATCATTACCATCATCATCGTCAACATCATCATCAGCATCATATTCATCATCATCATCCTCATCATCAGCATCATCAGCATCATTAGCATCATTAGCATCATCATCATCATCGTCGTCGTCGTCATCCTCATCATCAGCATCATCATCATCAGCATCATCATCAGCATCATCATCATCCTCATTACCATCATCATCGTCAACAGCAGCATCAGCATCAGATTCATCATCATCATCATCCTCATCATCATCAACATCAGCATCATCGTCGTCGTCATCATCATCAGCATCATCATCGTCATCATCATCGTCGTCATCATCATCACCATCATCATCATTACCATCATCATCGTCAACAGCATCATCAGCATCATATTCATCATCATCATTATCATCATCAGCATCATCAGCATCAAAATCAGCATCATCATCGTCTTCTTATTATCATTCTTCATAATCATCATCATCATCAGCATCCTGATCATCCTCCTGTGGCGACGCTTTCCTCTCGAAATTGAAACGAAAGGCAGGGAGATGAGGTCACTAGCGCCGCATACCGAGCGGCCGCACTCACACAGTAACACGGCTCAATGCATGTGCATGAAAGAACTGCGACAATGGCACGCAAAACAGCAAAGAGAAACAAAAACAAACATACATGTACATCGGAAGTTGGGTGGTGAGACCGAAGTGGCATGAAGTTCCCTAACCAGGAAATCTGTTTCGGCGTCAGTTCGTGTCGTGCGGCGCGCACATGCGGGCGAGGCGAAGACGCGCGAGTTCTTGCACTGGCTGGGCCCAGGTCCCTCCACAATGAGTCGCTTCCCACCGTCTGGGGCGTGCCAAGGGTTGTCCCGTGGTTGTCCTGTGGTTGTCTGGTGGTTGTGTGGGGTGTACCCGAAGTTGCCGGTTGTCCCGAGGTCGTTCCGTGGTTGTCCTCCTGGCTGACCCGATGGTTGTCACGCTGGTTAATTCGATGGTTGTCCCGAATGTTTTCCGTGGTTGTCCCGCGGATGTCCCACGGTTGACCCGTGGCTGTGCAGTGGTTGTCCCGATGATCGTCTCGTGGTTGTCCCGTGGTAGTCCTGATGGTTGTTCACATGGTTGACCACATGATGTTCCTATGACGGTTGCCCCAAATGTTGTGTTGATGGTTGTCCCGAGGATGTCCACGGGGTTTCTCGTGGTTGTATCGTGGTTGCCCTGTGGTTGTTATGCTGTTGTCTAGTGAGTGTCCTACGGTTGCGCTGTTGTTGTCCCGTCTATAGATCCACCACCGTACCCTGACTCACGAATTGAAGTGTCCTCAATTCCTTCGAGTCCTGCCCTGCGGATTCTTCAAGGGGCTCACAGTCCGAAATTCCGGGCGCCCCTGGGCACTTCCGAGCGCTTCAGGGATTCCCTGCGTGAGTTGTTCGAAGCCACGAGGGGCCCCAGACGACCCTCCCAACAGCACCCGATGCGGTCCAAGAGCTCCCCGAGTCGCCCGAAGATTTCCCTAAAGCGCCCATGATGGCCTTTTTCGGAGATGTGGACCCACCCGTTCGACTTCCAAGACGTTCTGCCCTCAACCGTGAAGCCTCGGAGAGGAATGCACGGGCCCCTTTTTCAGATAACCCCGCCATTGTATGAAATATCATGGCAGACGCGCAATGGTCCAATGGTTGACCCTTCCCTGGAGGAGGAAGACGAGGAGGACAAGGAGCACGACGAAGAGCACGAAAAGGAGATTGAGCGGGAGACGGCGGGGTGGAGGAGGTGGGGGCGGAAGCGGAAGAGAAGGAGGGATGGGGGAGTCGATGTTCGAGTGGCTTGGCGGCACTTTTCGGGGAGCCTCTGAAGGCAATGGTTGAGGCATCTTGGGGGTCTCGGAAGGCCCCCTCGGGAGGCCTCTTGAGAGTTTTTTTGACGAGGTGGGAGAAGAGCGGGGGGAAAAAATTATCCCATAAGCCTCTCTGGGAACATCTGGATGACAACGGCGACGAGGAGTGCAACGCTGAAGAGCACTATCTGGTATTTATTTTTCTCTAGCACAAGTTCGAAAAGACGCGGGATCACAGCCTGGGCAACGGATGTGCGAAGGAACAATACAGCAGTCT